GCATTGAAACGCCCTGCGGCGCGGTCAGGTCACTCTCCCCCCAGCTCTTGCTAATGGGGCGCGTTGGTGTTGCTCGCCCCGTCGCTGCTGATACCATCGGGCTCGCCCAGGGACCCTTTGGTATGGGCAGGTGCGCCGTGGGTCTGACTTCATATTGTGAAACTAACTGAGGGGATGTTGGGGTGCCCGTCTTGAAGAGGCTCAATGGGGCGACATACCATTAGCTTTTTTCCATGAGAACGCTAGTCTTGCGCCACTGGCATAGCTTAGTCGATGTGCGATATTTAGAACCTTCGCTTGCACCGTTCATAACGGCTGAACTCTGCTGCTGCTTTAGTCATACCAGTGTGAGGTCTGTTGGGTTAGTTACTGGGTCGCTTTGTTTCTAGTTTTGGTAGCCTTAATTTTCTGGAACTTCGATTTAGCATGAGGTGCTCGATGTTCTTATGCAAGGTATCTTGTAATCTCTGTGATGTTTTATGCGCCTTTTTTCTTCAAAAAAGGATGTATAACCTTTTTTCTGATCGTCTCCCAAGGTAAAGGTTCACCAGAGTATATATAGAAAATGTTGTCACATGTGATTTAGTTACTGATACTTACATAGATTTCATCTCTAATACTCTCTTTTAAAGCGAAGTCTAAAGTTTTTAAAGAAATAAATTATAAGTAATATAACTATTCCTTTATTAAGCAGCATATCAATATGAGAACTCGTGAAGAGGAGGCTTCTGGTAGAGAAGCGGAACCCTTGTGTAGCCCCCCGGCTGATATCAATGACCCGAAGGATTACCCTGGATTAAAGAAATTAGAGAGCGATAGGGCCGAGGGGAAAAGTTCGAGTGAAGGCGCATCAGATAAGCCAGCATCAATTTTAAGTACAGTAATTGCACTTCTAAGCACGATTGTTCCTTCTGGTGGCATGATTTCAACTATCTTTAGCGTTGCAGCAACGTCGGTTGGGTCTGGTATCATGGGGTTACCTGCAGCTTTTAACAGCACTGGAATTATCATCGCTATTGTTTACCTCATTGTTATCACAGCAGAAACTGTTTACTCAATGCGGTTATTAGCTCAGACAGCTGAAAAAAACAAATTACGCTCCTACGAAGAATTGTCAGTTCTCCTTCACCCGAAAGCTTATATTGTTGTTAGTATTCTACGTGTGCTCAACACATTGAGTGGATCCATCGCTTTTGTCGTTACCCTAGGAGACTTATTAAAGCCTATACTTGAATCTATTGACGGGACACCACCATTTCTTCTTAAAACCACTGGACGTAAATTGTTGCAGGTTGGATTTTGGTTGGTTTTTATGTTCCCCTTTGCATTTTCTCGGAAGTTCAACACCCTCCGATATGCATCAATTTTCGGGATAAGCTTTATGTTTTACTTGATTATTGTCGTTATAGTACATTATTTCATGAACGGTTTCAAGGCCGATCCACCTGTACATACTAATTTAACAAATACAGGAAACGCCGCACTTGATGGGATGGGTGTTTTTATTTTTGTCTATATGTGCCAAATTAACTGCCTAGAAATCTACTTCGAAATGACTAAGCGAAGTATAAGACGGTTCACTCTATGCATATCCATCAGTCTTATCTTCTGTGGTCTTTTGTATTTTGCGACTGGCCTTTTTGGGTATTTGGATTTTGGTGATGCAGTAACAGGGTCAATTCTTCATCATTATAACCCTATTAAAGAACCTCAGATTTTTGTGTGTTACGTTGGTATCTTTTTCAAGATATGTGTTTCTTTTGGGATTCTTAATAATACATGCCGATGTGCACTATTTCCTTTGTTTGGCTGGGACCCGCAAACTGTTTCCACAAAAAAGCATGTTATTGGTTCTGCAGGATTGGCTTTCCTTGCCCTTATACTTGGTATCGCCGTCCCTAACATTACCATGGTATGTGGACTTAGTGGAGGCATATGTGGAGGTACTATTGGGTTCATGCTTCCAGCATTGTTTATAATGTATTCTGGAAATTGGAATCTCAAGTCAGTTGGAATAATCAACTATGTGTCCACTTATCTTGTACTCTTAGGTGGTGTTGTTGCACTTGTGTTTTCAACAGCATCTAGTATTTATTCTGTTGCGAAGTGAGTAATTTTTTTCTTCATTGAAGTTCTTTAGTTAATGTCTTAAAGATTATAAAATAATTACGTTAATAAAAAGCCTTAATAACATGTTTTTACATTCTTTTTCATTTTTTTTATATTGTAAAATTTCCACTTGATAAGCATCAAAATTAGTAATCTTCTTTTATTAACTGGTATGCTTTTCTAAAGTTGCTGTATATAATTTTCTTACAATTAAATATGTTGCATAATTAACTAAGTGAAACATAAAATCTTTGATATCATTTTCTTACACCTTAAGCTTCCTTCAAGCATGAGGAAAGCCGTTGCTTTAGTGTGATCTGTATCTCGAGTTAGATTAGTTTTTTTTTTTTGAGGATGCTTTCCGTTAAATGTTTTTAAGTTTAAGGGGACGAAAACAGTGTATTCATTTTATATTTCTGGTTGATTGATTACATGATGCTGTGATGGAGTTGACATGATCACGTGCCTAGTAATTTACGCTTACCTAAGCCTTTTATCCATACAAAGGTAGTATAGCGTTATCAAAAAGACAAATATTCGCATCAGCTCTTTATTACAATTTGCATGGTTATATTTCAGGGGGAAGATACCCTTTAGAAAATGCATAAGGTTCTTTTTCACGGCGGATAGGATGTTATGACACAGCGAGTAGCATATGACGATGAGAGTTGTGTCACTGACAATTCAGTTTAAAGCGAAAACAGCAGTGTTGTACTTAATTATACCTTTGTGTGTACTTTGAGATGGAGTGACCTTCACGCTATTTGACAAGATGTGCCCACTGTTTTGAGGCATTACTTGGTTCTCTGTTATTTACTTCCGATCAATAGATTTGTAAATATCGTCTATCGGGTGCTGCTCTTGACACCCC